TTTTGCCACTCCCTCTTATTAAACTCCGGAGTTTCGCGATGGAGGTTTCTCGAGGCTCAACCACTTTTGGAGTCGTTGCAATGGCTGCGGAAGTTACTGGAGGTAAGGTGGGTATTGTTGCTTGTCGCAGGTGATTAACGATAGATCCTTGGATCTTAGGGAGTCTTGGATTAGCCGGAGCTACAGATCTGGTTTCTGCTTTCTGGCGACCACTAGGATCTGATCTTGAACCTAATTTCGTCTCTATTTTTTAAATGTGGAGTTGTATCTGGACAAGGCCTAAGCTCATTTGGGACATCCCGTTTAATAAATTTAGTTTAGAAAAACGAGGGAGAGTGTTGCACCAGAAAATATATATAGTTCACCATCACTATATACGTATGCGCAATTAGATATAGATAGAGTAAATCTTATATTTTATTCTCTATATGTATGTAATTTATATGTATGAACATTTTGTTATTGTATTCGACATTCATCAATTCGATAAGAGAGAAACTAAACTAAAGGCTCATATCAATTCGAATTTTTTAATTTCTTACATTATATTTAAGATGAAATTAAAAAGTTATATTTAAGAAATAAAAAGAGGAAAATAAATAAGAAAAATAAGCATACGCAAATAATATAAATTCAAACAGTACTTAATGAAATAAAAATATTTTTCAATTTCGTAATATCCAATTCCATTTTCACCTCTTTTAGAATAGTGATCCTGCTTCACCACCAAACAAGTCTCCTCCACCACTGTCACCCACTCCACCACCAAACAAGTCTCCTCCACTACCGTCACCCACTCCACCATTAGCATCACCGCCACCACCAATGAGCATGTTCATCGCAAAGCCTTGGCACAAACCTCGCACCATTGTATTCATCAACATTGGGTTGCCAAGTCCAGTAGGTCCATTGGGTCCACCATTCGCCATGTTAGGTCGTCCATTGGGTCTATATTGGACGGGTCGACCCATAGTTCTCGGCTGATACCTATTTGCACCTTGGTTCACGTTTCCATACCTGTTCATGTTTGTACCACCTCGTCGATACATGCCCATATTCCTTTGCCTACCATTTTGACCGTATTGGTTCTGGTTATTCGTTCCTGGTCCACCAACCGGCCCAACCATAGGTGCATACTGGTTATTGGGCTCTTCATTTAAACCACTATATTGTGAATTATCCATAGTCCCATAAGATTCACCCTCATCATACATAGACTCACTTCCTCCAGTGATGTCGCTATAGCTTTCGAAATCGTTTTCACCATAATTCTCATCATAACCTTGATCATAGCCATCATCGCCGAAGTCACCTCCAACTTCAAAATCACAATCACCATCACCACCAGCAAAATCATCACCATAACTCTCTTCGTAACCAACATTATCTTCACCAACATACACGTCAACGCCATAAACTTCGTTGTAGTTATCATTGTTGCCACCATTATCTACTGCATTGGACGGCCCACCACTAGGCCCATTAAATCCTTGAGGTGCAATAAATGCAGAAGGGTCACGAGGCCTATTAACTCTTACACTCACAGCTCCACCACGACCTCTTGTTGCATTGTTACGAACATTTTGCACACTTCTATTTTGAGATCCTCTAGGGCTTTGTATTGGACTCTTGGATCCTTGAAGCCTAGCACGTGGGCTATTACCAACTATATTCTTAGACCGAGCAGCCTGACCATTCGGGTTCCTGTTTTTCTTCCTCCCACCACCCGAGCCTTGTTTCATACGAACCGGTCCTGGTCCTTGTGTGTTATCCAGAGATGGTGGATAGAGATCAGCATCAGACAAATCATTACATTGGCTACGAGCATCACTACTGCCTCCAAAATCACTCTCGCTATATGCAACACTTAAATTATCACCACAAGCCACAAATTCAATCCCGTTACCATCAACTTGTTCTCCTTCGTCGTTACCCTCTTCAAGATTCACATCACCTTCGTATTCAACCTCGACATCGACATCAATATCAACATCAACATCAACTTCAACGTCAAATTCTTCATTCCCTGCACTACCATCGTAGCCACTACCATCCATTGATCCTTGACCAATAAGTTCATTCGGTCCAATAGGCCCAACCTGAGCATTATAAGCCAAGTTGTTGTTGTTGTTGTTCTGTCTTCTTGGTTCATAGGCAGACGCGTTTTGAGCTATAGGCCTATTGGGATTACCGATGGGCCTATTGGGCCTTGTCGTAGGCATGGGTCTGGGCCTGTTACTGCCTTGATTAGGCATAGGAAGCGAGTTTTGATGTTGAGGGTGACCGGCATGATGAGTATGAGGATTAGGTGCAGAAGTACTATGTTGAAGGAGGTGAGGAGCAGTGATGCAACCGACATGAGCGTCGAATTCGCAGGGGATACATCGATAGAGCCACTGGTTCTTCCCGATCTTAAGGCAGATGTCGCAAGAGAAACCTTTATTGGCTCCATAGGGAGATTGAAACACGAGTTTAAGGTTGTGTTGCGGATGAGAATTGTGGATGATAGAGAGCGGCTTGTAAGCACAAAGCGCGTGGATGTCGTAGTCGCATAGAGAGCATTGGTAGCTAAAACCCGTCCCGTGGACGCCACAACCATCACAGTTGAAGTATCCACCGTCATAGATAGGAGCCACAAGGAGACTAAGCGTATGAGAAGGGTGAGACGGATGTGTTATTACCTGCTTCATCTTGCTACACGACTCATGGAGAGAGAAGTTGCATGGCCTACATGAGTAAACACGGCCGTTGCCTCCGGCGAGTTTGCAGGCGGAGCACGGTGGTGATGACGTCGCCTGGGATAATTGAAGGCGGTGTGGGTGGCTGAAATGGTTTATAGAGCTATTGTTTTGCGACGTCGGCTTCCCCATTTTTCTTTTTTTGTGTGTTTTTTGGGTTTTGTCTTAAAAATGAGATTTTTACTTGTGAGAAACACAACTTAGAGTTAATAAAGATAATATGGTTGACTTTGGTGTTAATAAAAGAGGTAAGTCAGTCAACGGAACGCGTTGCACGTCTCTTCATGTGTGATGAATAATGCACATTGACTTTAACTAGTTGCACTTTCTAATTATATGTGGTTTGGTTCCTCTTATCTGTCTTTATTTTGTCTTGTATAGACATATGGTATTTGAATAAAACAAGAGGGTATATTTGATATTCTATTTTTTATTGAGCAAGAAATAGTTGGATCGTAATGCCTAATTTTCAAACATGGACGTTGTCTTCCTAATACATTGAATGTATATCTTGTTACACAATATCAAGTTGTTTTCGTTAACTCATGGGAATCCGATGATATGTAGCGTTTTCATATTCTTTAAATTTTGGCATGTACCAACAGGCAACAGTTGATAAGAAGACTACGATAACACTAATTTTCTGTTTATTTTTTTTTTGTCTACATCAATTATATTACTTAGTTGACTCAAATAAACCAAGATGGAGATTATTGTTTACATACGAAATAACATGCGATTGTACAAGAACATTTCATGTCAATTTATCAGCTTTAATATTTTCTCGTCGAAAAATTAAAGATATTGAAAAAGAAGAAAATAATCCCTTATCCCTCTCAATTTATTTTTTTGGGCATCAACATTTATTTTATGTTATAAAATTGTATGTCTAACTAGTTATGTCTATAATTAATTTCCGAAAAATACCTCAACTAAATAAAATGTGTTAAAAGCTATACATAATTTTTTTGGCTACTCAACAACGAACTATTAATCGATTCTTATTAATTAATACTCAAAATGAAAAATTTCATAGGTTTTAGACCTAGAACTATAACCATCATTTTCTCCCGGAAACCTAAGCTTCCGTACAACAAAATACCTAGATTGTATGTCGTCGCCCTAGAAACAAGTCAATGAGAGCTCAATGTCTAGCTATAGGGTTAAAGTTACGCTTGTATGAGGACATATATCTTTAGTCAAATTGTTAAATGTTCAGTTTAATTTACGTTTTTTCTACCGGAATTCAAAAACAAATACTTGCATTATCCCGTGTTATAGGATATAGTTAGCTATTTGTCGAGTTTTGTCGATTCAAATGACGTAAAAAGAGCCCGGGTTACAATTGTATATTATATTTATGCATAATCACTTATGCTTAACTGGTACTATAGTGTTTGCCATTTTTTTTTTTTTGTTCCTTCAAGTAAATAAGTTTTGTTTATCCATTTTTTTCATTGTCAGTATACTCGGGTCGTGTTCCCTGTATAATACAGTGACGTCATAACCATAGATATATTATAACCAAGCCGTGCAATAATGCCAGTCCACTACATTATAACCGGCTCATTCCGAGTCTGAACTTTTGTGCATGTCGATAACAAATTGTCTAAGATCTTCGAGCAAATTCTTGAATGTTTTTATGGTGATCTCACGGATGAACCAAGAAATCGGTGGCACATTAAGAAGAGAACAAGGCTGAAAGATCTGCTCCATTGTCACTTTTGATCCAATCCTTCCTTTTCCGCCACTACATTTTTTGTATTCTTCTCCATTAATCCGCGACCTAGACTTGCATAAACGTTCCTGATCTGCGTATAGTGGCTCCACTTTCCAGCTACCCTCAAACACTTTCATGTACATCATTTTCTTTTTCTTAAATTTTGCCTAAGCAAGAGATCAACAAAAAAAATTACTTCACCCAAAACAAGAAAAAACAATTTGTTCATGTGAGGTGTTTGAAGAAGCTTCTTACAGTAAGATTTTGATGGTTTTCATCGATGATTAGATGTATAGGGATAGCTATAGACAACCCGAGAAGCTTATATCTAAAAGTTTTTTTCACTTCCGTGATCTGCCTTGGTCCGTCTTTCTTCAAAACCTTTGTTGATTTGTTGTCCTTTGTAGGAAATAAAAACATTACACTTTCAATTATTGATAATAATTTATACTAAATTTGAATCATACAACTATATGAAAAAAACACACAAACCAAACGTTGGCGAAATTCCCTGTCGAATAATCTGAAGAAATTTAGGTTTCTTGGATTAGTAAGCATCTCAGAGACTAATTGAGGAGGCCATCCCAATGTAAATTCTATGTTCAAATTGCAAAGACCTTTTTTTCTTTTCACCTTCAAACATCAAAAATATATATAACCAAGTGTTAATTAAACATTTATTTTTTTCTTAATTCTAGCAAAATTCCTCTAGTATTAGGATTTTGTTTGCTGCTTTACTATTACCTTCACCGTAGCAGGAGCATCATACCATGGATGCTTGTTATTAGGACCAGACCAAAGTCTTGCTTGCCTATTCACCTCAGCTAAGTCATAATATTTAGGATCGACAGCATACAATGGCATTGCTCTAACATGCGAATTTTTCTTGTACTCAGCCTTCAACTTTGGGACCACATCAGGATCCCAATACCAAGGTTCCTGAATATTAGTATCTTTCTCTGAAACTGAACTAGATTTAACATTCTCAGGTATCTTGGACTCGGCCGCGGCCTACAACAACAGGCCTAGTTATGATCTCATTTTCATAGAGTACTTCCTCGGGTCCTTTGATTGATGGAAATGAAAAACTGACCTTAAGAGGCTGTTGAATGCTCTGATTGATCAAGCCACCAAATCTAGTAAATACAACCATTTCTATTCGAAAGTTTTTTAGTTCATAAACTATATACTTACCTGATGAGAGCAAGAGTGTACGTAAATGACCAAATAAAGCTTGTATTTAACATGGTGTGAGTGATATTGAATACAATGTTTGCATGTAGAGAGAATGGTGCACGTTAAGTTTTACGTGAGGCAAAAAAATTAAGTAGGCAGCTCTATTCTCGTGAGTTCTTGGCGTACGTACATGCGAGACCTACATCTACATGAGAAGAGAAAATATAGAAATTTGGTGCCAATATATTAAATCTAATCGTGATTAAAAGCATATATAAATTGAAAATTATAGAATCGTGAGTTTTGTGTTGAATTATAAAATCTAGATCTGATGAAAAAAAGCACAGAATCACACTAATATTACGTGTATTTTAAACCAATGTTCCACTTTAATTATACTTTCTTATGTAAAAACTCAAATATTTATAAGTTTTAGTGCACTTATCCCCATAGTCATCAACGTGGATCCACCCCTGCTTCTAAGCTTACATCATCTTATACCAGAGCTAAAAGGTTTAACCTAGATTGTATCTATATATAAAACTTTTTATTTCTTAAGTTCTATTTTTTTTTGTTGAATTCTTAAATAAAATAAATAAATTTGATGCCCATCGGCCAATTTATGCAACAACTCGTTTTAATATAGGTATAATTGGGGAACTAGTACATTTTAGAAACTTAATTAGAAAAGTGATACAGTTCACAAGAATTTTCTTTCTTTTTATTTCGTTTGAATATTTGAAAGCGAAATATTTAAAAATTCTCTTGAGATTATCTTCATTCCGGTTTCATAAAAACAAAAACAATTAACTGAAGCTAAGTCACACTCATGTGCAAAGTGCCTTAAAATCATCCGATCCAAGACTATCCGATCCACACTATTGACCATGCAAGATTTTCTAGACATCGAGGAGACTTGTTGGTCTATCGGTATTTCCCTCAAAGCTTTTATGAGTTTGGAATAAGACAAATATTTGTTTCATTCAACTTCTCACCAAACCGTCTAGTTTAGAAAAATGTATTTACCAATGTAACAATATCCTCCTTGAGGGAATTTATAGTCCATTCTAGCTTTGAATCATCTTTTTTTTTCTCGTATATTTAAGTATCCTAGAAACAATTACATCAGACAGAATCAGAGCCGGCCCATGGCACAAGCCCATGAAACATTTGCTTGCGGCCGTTAAAAATATATATAAGTTTTGGCCCCAAATTTTAGAAAAGTTCTTTTAGTGTAGTGGTATTGGTCTTTATTCCATGGGTACCGAACCAACAGTTCAAATCCTGCCCATAGAGAATGATCCGCTTAAAGACATTCACCATAACAGAATCAAGCAAAATAGAGATGTAAAAATTAAAAATTTGTGAAAACTATTTATTAATTCTAATGGTGTTTTTGTAATTTCCTTAAAATTCTAAAGTTATATTCTGATAAGTACTTCTCCATTAAAGTTTTTTTTTTAAACAAAAAAAAAAAAGAAAAAGAAAATAGAAACCCAATATGAAAAGGAAAAGAGCTTTTCGTTTTAGTAAAAAAAAAGAAAGAGTTATGACTCAAAAAAAGGAAAAGGACGTGTATTAACAATCGTGAGATGCTAAAAACCCTAATTAAATAACAATCAAACCTGCCGGCACTCTATCGTGAGGATAAATTGATAATGTATGAGCTTCCCGGAGATTTGGTAGAGGAGATACTCTGTCGCGTTCCAACAATATCGCTGAACCGATTACGATATACATGTAAACGATGGAACAGATTATTCAACCAAAGGAGATTCACAAGAAAGCATTTAGACAAAGCCGCAAAACAGTTTCTTGTTCTCATGTTGAAGCAGCGTAGGGTTTGTTTGATGAGCGTCAATCTTTATGGAATTCCATCTTTAGAGGTCAAAGGTGAACTTAGCCTAATTGACCCTCATTCTAGTGTAGATCAATTCAAGATTTTTCAAGTCTCTCACTGCGACGGTTTATTGTTATGCAACAATAAAGACAAAGATACAATCGTGGTTTGGAACCCATGTACTGGTCAAACCAGATGGATCCAACCAAGAAAAATTGGTTATTATGCTCTTGGATCGTACCAAGACAAGAAATATGACGATAATAGCTACAAAATCTTGTGCTGTTATGGTGACGACAACGAATGTGAAATATATGATATTAACTCTAATTCGTGGAGGACTCTTGATGTTACTTTGGAGTGCAATTTGGAATATAATGAATGGAGTATGTCTTTAAAGGGAAAGACTTACTGTTTTGCTTCAGATGAAGAAGAGTTACATCTCGGCATATTCTTAGTCAGTTTTGACTATACAACAGAAAGATTTGGACGTTTGCTTCTTCCATGTCGTAAATCTCTTTATTACAAAACCGCGTCTCTATCTGTTGTTAGAGAGGAGAAACTCTCCGTGTTATTACAGCACGAAAATACATCAAGGACAGAAATATGGGTGACAAATAAGATTGATGACACCAAAGTGGTGTCGTGGAGCAAGGTCTTAACAGTGGATTTGAAACCTGAACTTGATATTTTCCTTGGCGTAAGTTTCTTGGTCGATGAGGAGAAGAAAATTCTCGTGTGTTGTGATACAAAAGTGAGAGCTAATTCCATCTGGGAACACATGGTATACATTGTTGGAGAGGATAACAAAATAAAAAAGGTGAATTTTGGATTGCCTTTATCTTGGCCATTTTTGTTTAACTATGTTCCAAGTTTGACTCAAATATAACTATGTTGTTTAACGATTTACCTTACCAACAACAGAAACGAATAATTTATAGTCCTGTATATAGACATTTTGTTTTTTTGGTTTTCAAGCTTATAGTTATTTTGGTCATTTCCTTTGAATTATTTATAAACTAGTATTTAAACAAGAAGTGCTATTCTGTCCAATATTCCATACTTTTAGTCAACACAGTTTATTAAGTTTTATGATAAAAATTTCTTAATTTGTAGTCAGAACTCAGAAGTCCACGGAACATCTTTTATGCTAAACGAGTATTGTCCAAGATTAATGTACCATTTACGTAGATTCTGATTTATATAAAAGAAATCTTTTAGTTTTTGAAAATATTGTATCCTGCATTACATAGAGTACTTGTTGGTCTAAATATTGGTACTTCTACATCATTCAACTTCTCATCAAACTTTCTTTTTTTTTTTTTTTTGGGATCAACCAAGTTCTTCAATTAAAATCAAACGATTACAACTGAATTAAGCAATATCGAACATTTCCAATGTTTGAGCCAAGTAGGTACACTAGAACATACAACAAGATATAATGATAGATACACAAATTCATTCTAGTTTGATAATGCGTGAGAAAAGTTGTCGAATCGACCAATGCCACAAGAACAAAGCTCTGGTTAACATCTGGTAACCACTCATGGAGTTAACTTTTAATTAATGTGTAGTTCTTAAAAAAAAGTTTACAAAAATGACTTCAAAATTTTTTAAGTACATTTTGTACTTGGATCGAGTCAAAGCATATCCGAAATTGTGAACCAGATATCTATATAATATTTCATATTTAATAATAAAGATATTTACAATATTTGTTAAGATTTAAAATTATGATTTTGCTATCATCTTTGTTTTATTTTTTTATTGTTTTGAATCATCATATCATACATAAAGTTAAGAAAAAATCTCAAATTTTTTATGCATATATTGTTATTGAAATTTTAAAAACAAACATATATTACTCAATTAATTAAACAGGTGTGTATTCAACATCACACATCGGTTAAATTGTTTAGAGAATGATTCAGAGTTATATTATAAATAAGATGAAAATGAATTTAAATCCGAATGAGCAGGAAGCTTAACTTAACAAGTATCCAAATTTTAAACTTTGTATACGGTTTAATTCATTTTTTTAGTTAAACTGTTTAATTTTACAGGAAATATTAAATTTTATACTTTACTTTAAAAGGTTTTAAATATTATAAGTGATATATTTAAAATCAATAAAAAGTTTATAATATTATGAAAATTTAAACATATAAAAAATAACACAGGACGAGTTATATTACGGGATTTGTTTATATGGCGGGACAAGTTTGAATTAACATTAATAAAATTTTTAAATATTATTAATCTGCCGCTTCAATACGGGTTAGTTTATCATTTTATTATTTTTAATACCACCAATATTAAACATACCGAATCAGCTTGATTTAGATAAAATTTATAAAACAAAATTTGTCACGTGGTATGTCATTACCTATTAACAATTGTAAACTAGAAAATATAAATGTCTTTATAAAATGATACAATTTGCAAATTTTTATATATAAAACATAATCATTAAATTTTCAAAATCACTAATTTTAGAAAACAAATCATCATGCGGTACACCACGGGTTAAAATCTGATATAGAGTATCGACTAAACATGAATCCTTAAATTTTGTTTTCTAAGGTTTTTTTTTACTAAATTAAAGTTTAATAACTTTTTAGTTTTTTGTGTGAAACTTTTTCTCTTTGTAAAATTTTTTTATGGAAACAAAATACTACGTATAAAGTTTTTATGGGATATATTCATACTTTTTAATAATATTAACGTGTCAATTTGTTTATTTTTGAAAGTAAATATTAAAAACTGGAAAATAGGTTTTGATAAGATTTTGCTCCCATATAAAAAGGAAATATATATACAATTCTATTACGTTGCTCAAAAAAAAAAATATACAATTCTATCCCATTCTATTTAAAATAAAATAAAAGATATTTTTTTAAAATAAAAAGGAAAGAGTCCTAAGAGTGAGCAAATAAGCAAAGGTGAAATAGGAGAAAACCCTAAAAAGCAACAATCAAACCCGCCGGCACTCTATCTTGAGACTTGAGAGATCACATTGAATATGTCTGAGCTCCCCGGAGATTTGGTAGAAGAGATACTCTGTCGCGTTCCAGCCATATCTCTAAAGCAATTACGATACACATGCAAACGATGGAACAATTTATTCAACGAGAGGAGATTCACAAGAAAGCATTTCGACAAAGCCGCAAAGCAGTTTCTAGTTCTCATCTCGAAGCATTATATGGTTTGTTTGATGAGAGTCAATCTTTATGGAATTCCATCTATAGAGTTCAAAGTTGAACTTAGTCTAATTGATCCTCAAGCTAGTTTAGATCATTTCGATATTTTTAAAGTCTCTCACTGCGACGGTTTATTGTTATGCAACAACGGAGAATACAATAGAATAGTGGTTTGGAACCCGTGTACCGGTCAAACCAAGTGGATCGAACCAAGAAAGATAGGTTCTTATGCTCTTGGATCCTACCAAGACAAGACATATGGCGATAATAGCTACAAGATCTTGTGTTGTTGTGATGGCGACGACAACGAATTCGAAATCTATGAGATAAACTCTAGTTCTTGGAGGACTCTTGATGTCATTTTGGACTGCGAATTGGAATATAATGACTGTGGCATGTATTTGAAGGGAAAGACTTACTGGTTTGCTTCTGATGAAAATGAGGAACAGCTTGGAATGTTCTTAGTCAGTTTTGATTACACAACAGAAAGATTTGAACGTCTGCTTCTTCCATGTAAATCTCTTTATTACAAAACCTTGTCTCTATCTGTTGTTAGAGATATTGAGGTAACTTGGAAAGCAAGACAGCGGACCAAGCCCGTGAAGCCCGTAAAGCCGAAGTCAAAGAATATTTTAGATATCCTATTGTGATAAGGATTAAGAGATTTAGAATATTTACTTATTCATGTTTATCTATTTCCTATTCTAATTAGGTTAAACATAAGTTAGTCTCTCTATATATTGTGTATCAATTCTATTGAAATCAATAACACAGAATAAAGAGTTTTCCCCTAAATCCTTCTCTACTTTCTACAAGAGAAGAGAAACTTTCTGTGTTATTACAGCATGCAGATACATCAAGAACAGATATATGGGTGACAAATAAGATTGATGAGACCAAGGTTGTTAAGTGGAGCAAGGTCTTAACAGTGGATTTGAAACCTGAACTTGGTATTTGCGGTCTCGTAAGGTTCTTGGTCGATGAGGAAAAGAAATTTCTCGTGTTTGGTCATTTGAATTTGAAAAGTGGAGTCCCCATCAAACAAGAGGTATACATTGTTGGAGAGGATAATAAAGTTGAACAGGTGTATACTGGATTCACATCATCTATGCCAAATTTGTTTGATTATGTTCCAAGTTTGACTCAAATCCATGCTGTGTAAGTAGAGTCTGGTGGTGAAACCTCCAAAAGAAGATGTGCTGGGAGATAGGTGCCAGTTCGAACCTTTCCTCGGAGGGGTATGATCCATTTCTTCGACTTGGAAGACATATAGGTTTCGGTCCAGAACTTCTGATTTACCTTAAGAACAACAAGAATAGTTAAGCTACATGTAAACCTTTTTTTTTTTTTCATAGTTATCTTGGTCATGTCCTTTGAATAATTAATAAGCTAGTATTTCAATAATAAGTGGTATTCTGCCAAGTTTTCCTTTTAATCAAGACAAATTTTAAGTTTTATGATAAAATTATGTTTATTTTGCAGAGCATCCTCCTTGCTCTACTGCTATATAAAGCGTAATATGTATAATCAGCATTTATCATATTAGTCTCAGAGGAAAAATATTGACAAAAATTCATCTTAGGACTTAGAGCATATAATAAGATTACGGAATTATAAGTTTGAATATTATGACTTTATGTTCCAAGAAACCAGAAAAGTTTTAGACTAGGACATGTAGCTTTGTGGTTTATACATGCATAAAACATTTAACAAAAAATAACATGTTCCAAAAGAAATAAAGCCAAGGAAGTCTTATTAATGTAAAAATGATTCTCTACACATAAAAGTGTAATTACATGAGTTGATATTGTATACAGTATAGAGTATATACTACCACATCATATACGTCGGTATTCGTCTCCACAATCACCAATCACTTGGAGAAGATTTTTACCTTTCTTGGTAACCTCTTGAATGCTATTCACATCTTCTTCATCCAATACCAATGAGAATATAGCGTTTGCGTCTTGTATGTGTTCCGCTAACCCGAGCCTCACCCCAATCATTGATCCAGCAACTCCTTGCTGCGATGAGTGAATTTCATTTTTCAGAGAAATCAACAAACCAGATTGGTCTTAAGAGTCAAGAGTAATCCGTGTGATGCGAGGAAGAACAAATACCTGATCTAGTACATATCTCACAGCCACTGTTGGTATAGAGACTCCATGTTTTGTGGATATGCTCTTCATTGTTCGAAGTAGACCTTGAAATAGATTCCACCCTCCCCATGCATCAACCATCTGTAACGTAAATCTCAAAAATCTTAAAACAGTAGAAAGTAGGATGATCATGCATCAACCATCCTAAACTCATACAACGAGAACGGCCATTGAACTCTTACCCTTTTGTACTTTTGCAGAGAAGGAGTATTCAAGCGAGGGCCAGCAAAAGGGATTGTTAGATTGGTATCAAGAAACTTCTCTGACAGGAGACCACCCATTACTGTCCCATATCTGCACCCAAAGACCAATGATGTATGGTTAAGTCAGTTGTAAAGAGAAAGAAGTCAAACAAGAATTTCATAGAGTGTAACTACGTTATAAGTTTGACGCCTGTAAGCTCGCAAAGCTGAGCCATTCTCTGTTGAGGACGCATATCTACAATAGAGTGTTGCACCTGGAAAAAATTTGTAAATAGATTTACAAAAATAATGAGTCTGGATAAAGGCATATAAAGTTTAGAGATCAGGGCAGGCATTCACTTGATTGCTGACAACCGGGATTCCATTCTCTAAGATTTTTTGAAGTCTCTCTGTATCAAAATTTGTCAAAGCAACCGTCTTGATTTTCCCTGCAAGCATTTCAATGCTACATGTTAAGCAGCCCAATAGATAAACAAAAAAAACAATCACAACAAAAAGGAGAAAGATATAGCCCCTCTCCCTTACCTTCTTCTTTCAGGTCAGTGAGATGTTTCAGTGCATCAAGATAGCCATCATTCGCATAATCCCACCTATCCCACATTACAAGTTTATCTTAGCAAAATAGGACACGACAACGAATAGCAATTAAGCGAAGAGAGTAACACACACCAATGAAACTGAAGCATATCAAGAGCAGCCACATCCATTCTCTTCCGCGATATATCAATGTTCTGACGAACATAGCTACTTGTCATCTTTATTGGAGGAGGCACCCATTTTGTCAAACTACATCATTAAAAATAGCCTAACCATTTAGCCAGCCTACCATATCTTATACAAATTCTACATTTCAACAAAGAGACTAAACTTGCTTACCCTTTAATCTTCTCCAAATACTCCGGTGGACGCTCTCGACGAACTCTATTGATAAAAATGCCGTAAAGATCTTCAGCAGGACCATCTGAACATCATAGAAAACAAACCAAGCACAACTAGATTTCACTAATCTCCACACAAAACGTTTCAATTCAATTCTTCTGTGACCAATACATAGCACCACATATTGAAGGTCATCAAGAATTCAAGATCAAAACTAAGCATAGTTCTATTAGTAATCTCCACACAAAACCTTTCAATTTGAAGTCAATTTTGAAGATTCAGTTTCACTTGTTAGCTACTTACAATGATCAGCCATATCGAAAGTAGAGAGACCAGCATCGGCGTGTCGAAGCATTGCATCAACGGCGTCGTTTCGGTCAATCCTCCCCCATCCTCCGCTCGTTTGCCACATTCCATTAAGAACTCTGCATATCTCCAGTGAATCGTTACCGTTCTTCAGCTTCACCCACCGGTCAGCCTCCGTCGTCTCCACCGAGCATTTCACGGAGCTGGAGAAGATTCGACGGCGAGAAACATCCCGGTGAAACCAAATCGATGATACTGTAGTCGCTAGGTTCGTGGCGATAACGGAATGTACGGACACAGGCATGGCCTCACTCTCTCGCTTCTTTCTCCGTGGAAGAGGAAAAGTGGATAACAACTCTGTGGCTTATTGGCCTCATGGGCCTCTAATTCATTTTCAGGCCCAAACGTATTTAGACCCTCCACGCTTCGATCACTTTGACCTCAAAACTCAAACTGCCAATTGTTTTTAATTTTTTATCTTAAAAGGAATGCTAACAAAAACATATTAAATATATTTATATCTACTTAACATTTTTGAAGTACATTTTTTCTCCTTCCAATCGGATCAGATTTTTTTCAATTTTTGACTCGGAAATTTTCAATCGCATCTTTCCTTAAATTTAGGTAAATCCCAAAAACGAAATTAATTAAAAAATCTAAAAATATATCTTTCTCCAACTAATTACTATTACTACACCTAGAATCTTTATTTATGATATATTCCTTACGATTTTTATAGATAAGGAAATCAAATATGATGATTTAATGCTAATATAATAAATTTGTGCTAATTTTATAAAACATCTCTCCTAATTTAAACATAAATATATTATTATCATTTCACTTTTATTTGATTTTATATTTATTTTATTTTGAATTATTATAAAATATATATAGTTAATACAATTTTAGATTTTTTCTGCATATAATGTGATTCAAAATTTTTAAAACAGACATATATTACTCAATCGATGAAAAAATATGTATACAATCTAAAATAACCAAACAATAAATCATTTAAAATTATTTTATCGATGAAGAAAATTTTGCTCATTTGCAGGTTGGTTTTTTTTTTTTTTAATCAGGATTTTGACCCGGATTTGAGTCATTCAGATCCTTCATTATTTGAGTCTTTCCTAAAAAAATCCAAACAAAATTAAATGATTGATTTAGTAAATATAGAAATCGTATAACAAACATATATTTCGGGTGCAAATCGTTTCCTATTTAAGTGTTAGAACATCTCTAACCCCACTCTATTTTTTCCTCTAAAACTCTATTATAGAGTACATTTTCTCCAACCCCACTCTATATGTTACTCTAAAATAGAGTAAATGATAGGATTGCTCTATATATAGAGTAACTCTATTTTTTTTTACACTACCTCTATTTTAGAGTAACATAGAGTGATACATTGGAGAGAAATCATGCTCTATTTTGAAGTTACTCTATTTTAGAGGAAAAATAGAGATTTACATTGTGAAGTTACTCTATTTTAGAGGAAAAATAGAGATTTACATTGGAGATGATCCTAATGAATTTATTGCAAATCACATTTGTTTCCTAAATAAAATGAATAATATAAATGTCTCATAACTAAACGATTTTATCTTTATTTGATTAAGAGTATATGTAGCATATTTTTTGTTTATGACGATTTAAAGATTTCTAAAGATATCAAAAACTTGCTCATCAAATATACCAAAAATTTCCAAAGTATTTTTATATGATTACACACACAAAACAATTATCAATTTACAGTTTTTTTAATGGAATCTAATCGCAATACACACAAACTATATCATTTTTTCAACTAAATTTAATTTTCATCTATAAATATAAACAATGGTCGAAACTAATAAATATATTTTGTTGGATTTTATTACACTAATAATTTAGCTAACGGGATAATATGATAGGACGAGTTTGGATCGATATTAATACGGGACGACATACCACAAATAAAATCCTAGAATTAACAATAAAAATACAATTATACAATCTTAATCACTAAACAAAACAAATATAACTTAAAATTCAAAACATTTAGTTATAAAAATCGACCCGAGGTGTAACCAAAATCAAACATAAGTTTATACCAATAAAACATAAAAATATTAATACATCAATATCATATAATTCAAAATGATGTCTTTTATATGTCTTTTAAACAAAAGTGTTATTAAAAAAACAACAAAATGATGTTTAATTTCATGGGACAGAATTATCTGGTGGGACGGGTTCAGATCGATATTAATACGGGACAATATACCACGGATGAAATCCTAGAATTAACAAATCAAAATATAATTATACAATCTTAAACACTAAAGAAAACAAATACAAATTAAAATTTCCATTTTTTAGTTGCAACGCATGTGACCCGCGGTGTACAACAAAAAATATAATACACAACAAATTCATCAGTTTATAAAAAAAAAAAACAAATAATTAACCCGCGGTAAACAGCGGATCATATCCTAGTATTGATAATATAAAATTATATTATGTCATTACGCAAAATATATTCAATCAACATATTTTCTTTTAAGTAATTTCATTCTGCGAATTTTATTCTGCAACTTATGTTGTTATGCGATTATGCAATGTTACCAATCGGAGCCAAATATCATATGATCTATTTTTCTATATGTGTTTAGTATGATTTATCAGAGAATCTTGAGATATATCGTATCTTAAGTATTATCCCACCACTTTTTGAATGTTTTATTAAATCTTGAAACTACTAAGGTATGTTTTTAAAAAAAAAAGACCTTGCAGACCCACCACTATTTTAGACAATTAAAAAAAGAAAAAAAAAAGTATGTTTGTTTGTTTGAAATTTTTTTGGGTTTAATAGCCAAATCAACAATCCCTATTTGTTAAGCTAAATTTATCATTTCATATTCTAAGCTTCTATCTGTATTTCATTCATCAAAATTTCGCCGGTGTAATTGCAATATTAAGATTATGATGTTCCTTCAAATAATTGGTCAGGTAGGAAATGTCTAAGGTAGTAACATTTTTATTTTAGTTTTTGAGTTTTCTGATTTCTAAATTTTCTTATGAAAACATATGTTTTTTTTTGGAAAAGGGTTTAACTTATAAAAGTATTTTTAAGAGTACTAATATGGTAAAATTTAGCTTTATTCTTTTTTATTTTTACAACAATTTCTTTTTTTCATTTTAGAAAAATAAAATGTTTAAAAATCTTACAAAAACAAAAAGCAGGTATTTTTTAACTTTGCAATAGATACGAATGGCAAATAATATGTCGATTGGACAGAACGAAGCGACTTGTAGATATCAGTTAAAAGTCTCTCTACAAGTGGAAATGGGGAACCAAAACATTTTATTTTGCTTTTGTCGACGCTATTAAAGTTTTTTTCCTGACTCTCGAAGTAACGACTAATAACGTCAACTTGAAACAGCTAGTTCAGTGCATGAGAGACGCGTGTCGACATGCAAATTGCATAAAACCAATGTCCCAGTTGCGGTTATATACTTTGAACACACGACCACTTGCTAACTTCAACACCGTCTTTAAACTCACATGTTTAATTCTTACGAAGCACGTGTTTTTTTGTTCTTCTGTTTTTTCTTCTTCGTGAAGGTATCATAAACAGAACTCAAAACAAGTTTAAAAATAAGTTCTCAAGTTCACTTTGTTTTTTTAGAAAATTTCAAACAAATTTTGGAATATATTGGCCATTAGTTTGGTGTATTTTGGCATTTTGTTTGAATAGTAAGTAGATTAAAAAATTGGCATGAATATAGGTTGGTTGGTGAACGTAACCGATTGGAAATGAGTTAGCAAAATGCACGAATAAGTTTGCGAACGCGTGTTAACTAACACAACTCCAACGGTCTATTAATTGAGAAGCCAACAAATTTCTTAAACGTTATAATTTAAAACATTAAGAAAATCAATTTTTAGAAATTTTAATTGGAGTTATAACATAGAAATGACACTAGAACAAACAATTAGATTATATAATTTAAAATAAAATATTTCTCTCCTGTAAAAAAAAAAAAAAGATTTCTCACTAACTTATAACACATTTTCTGAAAATTCCTTGCAGATCCCTCAAAAAAATATTTTTAAATTATTATGTTTCTACTTATATTTTAAAAAAATATAAGCTAACTTTTTTATAAAATATTTATTTTAATTGCAAGCATATGGATAAAAAGAAATTAAAATTAATAATGAAATTTTTTTAAAATAGGAAATATATATGTTTATGATAAATACAAACATACACGTAAACACTAAATAAATATCAAATTCTAATAAACGGATTATGAAAAACGTTAATTAATCTATATATATTTGTGTGCATCACATGGTCTATAAATTTATCAACGATAAATTGAGCATCTATTCCATGTCAGAATCAGTGGTTTGGCGTAGCTTCTCTTGGCGCATAGCTGGGAAGTCTGAATTTTAGTCATTTTTAATATTGTTTTAGCAATCGATATCATTTGTCAGGTTTTTTATCAAAAAAATTTAGATCCAGATAATGCTTCCTCTTTTTAGCACCAAACTATTTAGGATTTTTTTTGCCGTTAGATCCAATCTTTAGAAGAAACCTATTTACAAAAACAACAAACACATGAAACTAGGTAAAACAACTATGAGATGTTTTTCGAGGATTCTTATATGGTTACGTTAGTACAAAATAACACATATTTAATTGGAAAATGCACAAAAAAATAGGTTTTGTTACGTCAGGTCCACAAAAAAAAATTCATGAGGCCGGTATTTTTATCATGTTAATGAGTAAGTTATTTCTAAAAATATAAACAAAGTCAGTATTTTTGTGAGAAAAAATGACAGTCATAAAGAAAAGAGGAGTGAGATCGAGTGTAAGAGTTACGGAAAACAGTTCTTATTTTTAGAGAAATCGATAAAATATAGTGTTCAAAAGTTAAAACCAAATCCAAACGGGATGGTTTGCATTCATAAAATTTACATGTCTCGAGTATATCGAGTAGAGTGACCGTTAACTTGATAGGTCGGGTTGATCAAAAAAGCCTCCTGCCGTCGCACCTCCGCCCACCTTTCTGAGCCGGGGCTGAGCACATGAGAAAGCTGTATGCGAGAAGCTACGAGCGTTAAATGAAGATGACATAGCGAGCTATGATTGGTGATGGAAGTTTCCAGAACGTGAGAATCAAGTTATTCAAGATATAAGCAAATCAAGGAAAGAAGATTAGAAGATATCTTAGAATAGAAAATTAGGTTAGCTGAGTTTGTGTGGCTACCTATATATTGGTAGTCTAAGCGTTAGGCTTATGTTGGCCGTCTTTATCATCTCTGTGAATCACAAGTTCTAGGTTAGAAGCTGTTAGGGTTCTTGGTGAGTGATCAGAGTGTCCAGCATAACTGTTGTTGTGTTTGTGAGATTGGGTAGATTAGGAATTGGTC